CCGTTTCGTCGCTTTCGCCGGACTCGTTCTCGGGTTCACCGAGTCAACCTGCGCGTAACATTGGTACTGGCGGCAACGCATTCCGTGGAAACAATTTGAGCCCGACTAGGGGTACAACCGCACCAGCGAATACCTCGGCTAGCGATAACACCAATACGAACATATTTGCCCCCTCCCCCTCCATTTCCCAGCTAAAATCTGCGCTTTCTGGTCCCCTCAATACCCCTATCAACACCGCGAACGCGAACCCAAAGCCCCCAGGCCAGAAGTTCGTTCCAGTGTGGAAACGCACCCTCCCCGACGTTTTACCACCGCTCCTTCCGACACCACCACCGAACGTTGTACAACAGGCGCAATCTGGAGCGTTTCAACGACAGCTACAGCCTCCCCAACCTCCCCGACAGGCTCGGCAAGCATCACCGACGCGGCAGCCACAAATTCCACCTCCCCAGGCTCGGCAGCAGCAGATGCAGATACAGCCTCCACGGCCAGTTGCTGCGCCTCAACAGCAAACGAGGCCACCTCAGCCTCAGCTTCAACAGCAAAGGCAGCAGCAGCCACAGCAGAAGCAAGCGCGCCCACCTCAGCAGATGCCCATGCCGCCTCAACCACAGCGGGCACGTAAGCCTCAGCGTCAGCAGCAGCCTCAGCAGGCTCCTACCCTTCATAATCAGCACCAACGACAGCCTCAACCTCCGCAAATGCCACCACAGCCCCAACCTCGACAAGCTCGACAACAGCCGGTCGCGCAGCAGCAGCAGCGTAGCCACCCTGCACCTGCACCGATCCTCCAGCCGCCACCGCCAATCCCATCGCATTCCAAGCCGCGACTTCCACAAGCTTCTGGGCAGTGGGGTGCCCCGCACCAGTCAAGTTACGGTGCGAATGCGGAGGAGGAAGACGACGAAGAGGACGATGGCGAGCAGACGGAGGATGGGACGGAGGCTAGCTACGAATATGAGGAGGAGGAGGAACAAACGGAGGATGGGACAGAAGCGAGCTATGAAGATGAGGAGGGAGAGGAGGAGGAGGAGCCCGAATCCGAGGTGTCGAAACCACCCCCGAGCCCGCAATACGGCATTCGAGATTTGCCTCCACGCTCTGTTGCGTTCCCGCTTCCTGGGCCACCACCACAACCGCCTGCGATGAACGTGGGCGGGGGAAAGGGATATGGGCCCAGGTCGATTTTTCCGTCGTCGTCATCGTCTTCGGGTGGAGGAGGTAGTGGGACTAGCATGACTATGCGCTTCGCTGCGGGGGAAGCCGCGGTGTCGAACCACTCCAGGAGCGGTAGTGGTGGGAGTGGTGCAGTCAGGGGATATGACCTTGATCTGGACGACGTCCCACCGCCGCGGTCCGAGTTTGTGCTCGCACAGGGGAACTCTAGGCGGGCTCTGCCTGCGCCTGAGAATGTGCAAGCCCAGTCCCAGGTACAGTCGTCGCAGTCGCAATTCGCGCAACAATCACCACGACACACCCAAGACCAGCAGAGGCGCCCGCAGTCGGAGATCATTCACACTTCGCCTGTACGGGGAGGCCAGGCGAGGCCGCAGTCCCAGATGTACCACACGCCTCTCAAGGGGGATGGGGGTGGCGGTAGCAGCCGTGGCGGGGAGTGGAAGGCGCAGTTGCAACGCACGCGGTCATTTGGGAGTGGACGGGAGCTCCCGAGGATCTCGCAGGTGCAGCAGGAGCAAGGGCATCGTCAACAGCAACAGCAACAGTTCCATTATCAGACCCAGAACCGTCAGCAGCAATCTGAACAACGCCACCACGAGACCCAGACCCAACCTCAGCCTTTTCATCAACCACAGCCCCAGCGTCAGCAACCTCAAGCACCAGCGTCCATCCCTCAGATCAACGTGATCGAGTCCCCCGCACCCGTTGGCGGGCGCGACAAGCGCGCCGATATCGGAAAGATGGAAACGGCGGACGTGGCGGACGTGGTCGTGTCGAGTCCTGTGCACTCGCCCGTGCCGATCCCCTTGATCAATATCCTGCCTGAGATCGAGGAGCCTGCCAGCGACGATGACGACGATCGGGGTGTTCCCCAGGTACGCGTGGACGGTCCCGGCGTGCCGAGCATCAATGTCAGTGGAGTTCCCCAGATTAGCGTCAGCGGGAACAGCGACCACGGATCGCCGAGGGTGCAGGTGTACGAGGTGCCGGGTGTGAGTGTGTCGGGCCCTGGGGGCGGGCCTCCTTCAGTCAGCCTGTCCGGCCCTCATCCTCTACAGCACCATCGGGGTCATAGTGGGGGGCCACCGCCGAGACGCGGCGGCCTGACGTGCGGAGGGTGCGGGAACGGCATCGTCGGTCGCATCGTGAATGCAATGGGGCAGCGGTGGCACCCTGGATGCTTCCGTTGTACGGTGTGTAATACTTTGCTGGAGCATGTAAGCTCGTATGAGTGGGAGGGGAAGGCATATTGTCATTTGGATTATCACGAGGTGTGTTTCGTTCCGCTCCTTCTTCCTCTTGGGCTGTTGTCATCCGTTCTCTCGTCTTTTGGGCGAGGCTTGAGGAGCGTTGACACTCTTGATAATTCTTTTTGTGGTGCTAGAATTGAGACTAACTCGGACTCCTTGCAGAACTTCGCCCCCAAATGCTATTCCTGCAAGACACCCATATACGAAGAAAGATTCATCAGCCTCGACGACCCTGCGCTAGGCAAGCGCGCGTACCACGAGCAGCACTTCTTCTGTGCCGAGTGCGGAGATCCGTTCCTCGCGCCCTCCATCGGCGAGCCGTCTTCTCGGACAGGTGCTTCAATTTCCACTTCTCGTTCCACACTTTTGTTCTAATTGTATTGTCAATCAACTTACAGGTGAGCTGACGGTATCAGGCGACGGCGATTACGCGTCGGATGATGTGGGCTTCACTGTGTATCGCGGGCACCCATACTGCGAGGCGTGCCACGTTCGCCTACGCCTTCCCAAGTGTAAACGGTGCAAACGCAGTATACGTGACGGGGATGAGGCTGTTGAAGCCCTTGGGGGCAAGTGGTGTTGGGGGTGTTTCGTCTGTAAGGTACGCGTCGTCTATTGTCTCGAGACGTATGTAGCATCTAACCTGTGTTGTGTTGGTAGGGATGCGAGCGCCCGTTTGACAATCCCTCGTTCTTCCAAAGAGGGGACGAGCCGTATTGCGAGCAGTGCTTTAGCATTATCTTGCGAAATGAGGTATGATTTACGAGGATGATTACGACGAATGCGGCTTTTGATGCTTCCTTCCCTTATGTTGTATTTCGCTCTGCTTTGCTACATGCTTTCCATAAAGAGGCCAAGCGCCCAGTGCTTTTTTAGTTATAACTTACTCTGACTCCTGGACTGTGCACACAGTGGATTTTACGTTTTGGTTTTGTTTAGTTCTCCCTACACTTAAGTACGCTATTTCTTGCTTTCGAGCCCATGCCGATTTCTTATTATGGGTGGCGCCGGGTGCAGTGACAATCCTTTCACTTGCACAGTACAGACTCGCATCTACATGTCTTTGTCATAGACTTTTATACTCGCACCCACTTTCACTGACTAGATGTGCATACCTGCGCTCGTAGTGCGCAGATGAAAATCACTCTACAATCAGCACGTACCCCATCCTCGCCGTCCTCTCTAATCGAGGATCTCCCTGAAGCCATTTATGATGAGGAAGCAAACAGTGACCCAGGACGGATGGTTTTAAGAACGTCGACATCGCACCATTGTGCCACACTGCCTCATTATATCCCAGCTTCCCCAACTACTTGTCAAGTGCTTCCAGTCGCCTTCCAGGTGAAAGCCTTCAGATGCATCGTGGACAGCATTATGTCAAGGGTTATCTATCTTCACCGGAGGTTGCTCTGAACTGAAGTATGAATGAATCTCCGAGCTTCGGGACGTGGCAGTATTCGGTCACTGGAAATTTCAATGACCACTAATATTCCAGACCCCTTCGTGAACCTCAGATGTGCGTCCGAGACGATACGGGTTTCTCAGAAGTTTCCCGGATCGGTCTTTGAAGAGCAACGATGAAGCCATCCCTCACACGCGCAGAGGTTTGAAGGCGGGGATCTGCTAGGATGTTACGACTGATGGTGTCTGTCTAGGAGAGACTAGGATCTGCAGTGTTCGGAAAGAGAGCATTTGCTACAAGGCAATGTGATCGATGATAACTACAATCAAGGAGGAAAGCCTGAAACTTGAAGGGCAAACATCGTGCACTCCGAGGCCGCAAGGCGAACTATTCAATGGCCTAAGAAATAGACCAGTAAGGCGATGTTTGCCTGCCACGATGATTAAAGAAAGGGCATCGCATCGATCGAGGAACGTTGGACAGGCCCGTTTAACGGTCCCCTTGGTGGTGCACGTTTCTCGTTTCCCCTGGATGCAGTATGGCAGTATGAGACAATTGAACATATCGGACTACCCCGCAATACATTAGATTAAGCATAGCACACGGGGCAACTTGGAGGTTGGGCGGAGCGAGCGAGGCAACAGTGCATTGCAAAGCTAATCATCGGCAAATCAGGAGGATACAAAACATTGCAGATGCCCCGGAATGAAAAGACACAGGTCGTACATGGTGAACGCCAGAAACCATCAGAGCAGCGCCGAGCGCGGAAAGACAGTAGACGCGAGTAGTACACGGCCAGTGCCTGCAACTGCTGGTTCAGACGCAATCCAGTGCGTTTTTGGGTGAGCGTAAATCGTGTCCATGCACCTACATATGCCAGGGAAACAGTCAATTACGAAACCAGCTGGAGAGCTGGTGACAGTTGGCAGATTGTATTTTCAGTGAACTGTGAATCGAAGAGATGACGCGGCCACGTGGAGAGCGCCTTGAGCAGTTCTCGACAGCAGCCTTGCGAAATAAAGTTACATGGAGATGAGGATATGGCTAGCTCAAGCAGTGGTCTAAGTGGAAGGCTCGAGAAAAGTGGAGCAGGCAGAAGGCGGATAGACTCGGAATGAAACCGATCGCTAGTACGGAACGAGTAAGTGCCTCCTTTCATACTATCAACTGCCCGTTTAGCTCAGTGGTAGAGCGCGCCACTCGTATACTTGTGATGGTGAGGTCAATCGTTCAATCCGGTTAGTGGGCAATATGTTTTGCCACTCGCCCAGTCCAAGGCCGACTTGGCGGCTATCACCCAGTATTGAGTCGTGCGTGCTCTCATGGACTCTGTGAATGCGTGATAATACCATACATCAGTTTTACACTACTCTACAATAATGCGATTGATCAATGAAACAAAATCTACGATATAAACACCTTTCTGAGTTCATTCAGTTCGCATGTCGCTCCCGTTCGCGGACAAGTCACGAGGCCCCCGTTCTTTGCCGCCATTTGCTCCAAAGCCTTTCAGGAGATGCCAGGTCAATGTCCAACTTAACCTCGTACAGAAAGGTGTTACCTCTTTGGAGTACACATTCCCGTTGGGAAAGGCCATAGGCATGTTGTCCTCGTCCATAATTCGTCCACTTATTCTACAGACAATAGTAGAATTCGCGTGATGGCTGAATGGCACCTCCTGCGCAAGCTTCCCCATTCCCAGTCCACCTGACCCCGAGCTGGGTTCGCCATCGCAGACAGGGCAATCTACGTTCTTGGTCGTGAGGTTGTAACATACCGGTAGTTTGAGGGAGGCGAGTCCTGCGTAGAGAGAAAGGTGGAGAAGAGGCTCGGTAGGGAGGGTATTGAGGGTATATATTGCCAGCCGGAATGATTGTACCAATGTGTACCAGCGTGAGGGGTCGTACAGGCGCTAAACGACCGTCAGTCATAACTCGGCGAGTGATGAAAATTACACACTTTGTATGGCCCGCATGTCGTGTTTGGTGGGAAGGCCAGAAGCGCAGTGGCGGTCTGAATCTGCGCGAGATGTGTCTCGTGCCAAGGAACCAGATATTTTCTTGAATATGCGATGGCTTCCTGAGATTTTCGAGCTCTGGTCAACTCAATATATTCCTGGAGGCGGAGGTCAAACTCGAGAGTGCTCTGGACATAGTTAGTGGCGATACACCCGAGACGTGGTGATCATACACACCTTGATCTTCCGCAGGGCCACTTTGTTCTCACTGCACCATACCAGCGCTTCGGAACAACTGTGCTCCGAGAGCGCTTTCTCTATACGTCGTATATCCATGAAGAGATCGATGTCCACGAGAGTCTGGAAGGTGCGGCCCACTAAGACACGGGGAAGTAACAAAGAGGCCACCTTACCTCGATATTCTTCTCCTTTGCCACCTTTCTAGCAGTCATCTCCATACCAGACCGGAGGCACCAATCGACGAGCCACCGATCGAGCCGTGTATCTGCCCATCTATTGTATTCAGGCCCACTCGCTGTTGAGATCGTCTCGACTGTCGACAAGTGACTCAGACGTTCGCGCATGACATCTTGAGTAGGTTTCCCTGCGGTGTCTTGCAAATCTGAGAGCTGCCCATTGTAATGAGCCTGAGTTTCTCCGATTCATACAAGAAAGAACCAACGCACCTTGCGCTTCAGGCTCTCAACCCTGTCAATCATGCCCTCGATAGAGTTCAGCGCCTCATCTTTGTCCAATGTTCCCTTCGCTTCACGTTCCGCGAGTGCAGTAGACGTGACTTGGACCCAGCCTAGCTCACGCTCGACGTTCTTCTGTGATGTACGGAAGACCTTCCGGTAATTCTCGTAAGGAACCTAGTTTACAGATCCCGTTAGAGATGATATTCACCGACATCATTAGACTGTAACCTCACGCGAGCAAAGGGTTGCTCAAACAACAAGACACCCTCAGTGTTCAATTTCGTTGACATAATGGCCACCTGTGTCGGCCTAGTATAATGGATAGACTACCCAAGAAATCGCGATATCACGTTGAAGAAGAGCGCTGAGGTTGTAGGGGTGACGGAGGAGTTTGAGGGGTGAGGGAATCGCGGCGCCGCGCGGTTCGCTCCGTTTGAATTAGAAATCACGTGCGTGCCGTACTTTATACATACAAGCTTCCCATCTTCCTTAAAGGTTCGCCAAATCTGTGTTCTGGGCTCCCACCTTGCTCTTGACTACAAAGGACCCACCGTGCTACGATCTTGAATTATGGTTTTGCCTCTCCGTCAGCGCGATTGGGCGAAGAAGGCTCCCGATCTGTTGACGCCGCGGGCACGGACGATATCCTCGAGCTCGCTCACTTTGACATGGGCTGAACTTCCGCCGTGGCGAAGGGATAACGAATATATCGTGTCTGGCTACAGGAGGTAAACGGCCTCATCGTTTCAGCTATTTCCGGTCTCAATGTAAAGCAGGGTCCAGAACCACTGGCGAGGATGCTTTACCTCTGTCTACGCATGTTGGTGACTCTAAGCATCGTCGCCTAAATATCTTATTCTAACTGCTTGACCAATGAGATTTACACAACGAAACCAGTGCGCACCCTCATTTTTGACTTGCCGTCTCAACTCAATAAATTCGAAACCGCGTAGTCAACATCCACAGTCATCTCTGGGGTGCTATTTTGTTCATTTACCTTTTGGTGGATTTCAATTCCCAGTACCGGTTGGATACGACCTGGTTGGATACCGCGGTGTTCAGCATATTCCTGTGCTCCGCAGTGTTTTGTCTCTCGGCAAGCGCCTGTTACCACACGGCGACTTGCCACTCGGAACAGGTATGTCCAACACATGTGACTGACACAATAATTACGAGCATTCGATCCGTCCACCCTCTTCTTTAGGTCTCCACCTCATGCCATGCTCTGGACTACTCTGGAATAGTCATCTTGACTGTAGGGTCCTTCTATCCGTGCCTTTACTACGGCTTCCATTGCCAGGCATTTTTGTGTCTGATTTATATCCTGGCCATTACGCTGGTTGGTTTTGGTGAGTGAACATGATCATGATCAAAACATCGAACACATGATCATGATCGTACTCATTGGCCACAAATAGGCGCTGCATATATCGTTCTTCATCCAGAATATGCTAAGCCTACCCACAGAGGCGCACGGACAGCAGTTTTCATAGGCCTTGGCCTATGTGCAGCTGTACCTGTGTCGCATCTGCTTTTGACGCATGGATCGACTCATCTTCTCTCGGAGATGGGTTTTGGGTGGTTATTGGCCTCGGGTGGCCTTTACATTATCGGCGCGTTGCTTTAGTATGTTGTAATCTTCCACCTCGTTGCTCCCCGCCTTCCCATCATTTCCGTCTTCTACTTCTGTTCCAGATTTGACTTACCTATCTGGCTTTTGCTTTGCAGCGCGAATCAAATTCCGGAGCGTTTGGCGCCAGGTCGGTTCGATTTATTCTTCGCATCGCATCAGATATTCCACTGTTGTGTTGTACTGGCGGCACTGGCTCATTATCAAGGCGCGTTGAAAGCCCTTGATTATCGCTTGTCGTTGCCCCGAACCTGTTGATTATCGATACCGCGCCTCAGTTGGTCCCAAATTGGTGAAGGTCGATGGTCGCCACCACCGAGAGAGGTACGCCGCACCCGCTGTTTTTTACATTCCCTTTAATCATGAATTTTTTTCATGTCCAGATACGCGACCCTACTTAGACGTCTTAAAACAATTTGTTGCCTTTTCCCCTTTCATGCTGCCCCTTGCCAAGCGCTGAGATCCGTCGTCGGGGCGTCATATCTTGGTATGTTAGTGTCTTGGTCATTCCAGTACTTTCGAGGAGCAAAGCGGCCCTCGGGGCTCAGTACGATGCGCATGATGTCCCTGCATTGGGAGACCTGGTTATGTCGCCACAACATTGTTCTGGGCACGATCAGGCATCGATCTGTCAGGCAAACTGACACATTGCCGCCGCGACCGTCGACGGTGGGTGAGTATGAGAGAGAAGTGTTGATGGGCCGACAGCTGCTCAAATTGACGCAACCCTTCACGTAGCATCGCGAATCCGACGTTGGCCATCTGATTAGACGGACGCGAATCCCACATCGCGCTCAGATAATAGATGCGATGACGGGATTGCAGCCGATCAGGCAGTAACCGAACCCCAGATTCCACGAACCAGATAAGTGATCCCGAGCAAAATTGGTGGACATGAGTCGCCCTACAAGTGTTGCTCGAAACAGTGCGTGCTCTGTGTTCTGTTGTCGACCGATCGGGGGATTCGAGGGGCTGACAACGAATTTTCCACGTGTAATCCTTGCTTCCCCCATGTCTCTCCGGAGAGATCCTTGCGGCGTTTGCCTTTCGGTGCCGTTCCATTTTTCGCAAAAGGATCCCCGTGCACTGTGCAAGGAAATTCAGATCTCACAATGCTGTTCCCCTCGGCACCCCCGATCTCATACCCTTCTTCCGCTTTTGTCCCAATGAAAATACGCATACCATGTTATTATCCGGTGCGCCTGGCAATCTGCAGATTTACCATGGCGGGTAGCGTATAAAGTCTCCAGCAACATCTCTGTCGAATGACCTTCACCGAGAATAACTCTATCCCCTTCCCCCTTCGAGAACTACCCTCCGGCGTGCCTAATTCCTCTCTCTGGCAATGCCCTACTCTGTTGGCCTCCAATCTGCCGCCGACGCCTTCCTCTCCGCGGGGATTGCAACGCAATTCACGTTCGGTGTCGTAATCTTCCTGGTCATCGTCCTCGTTACATCCTCGCTGCAGGCAGACGAGGCCGATGCACCCGCGTCGCTCCCTTGCTACTCTCTCTCGGCGATACTGCCTTTCTTCACTCGGCGCTACGACTTTTTAAACTGGGGCTTCCAGGCGACTGGCCAATCTATCTTTCAGTTCCAACTCTTGCGGGTGCGTAACTTACTAAGGACTGCGGCACCGCATTATCTACAGTCTTCTAATAATGCCCACAGAATCAAGTCATCGTCGTCTCTGGCGAGAGCGCACGCGAGGCATTTTTTACCGCGAAAGGACTTGACCTCACGGAAGGCTTCAAAATTCTCTCGGGCGCGGTGAGTGACGACATAGCTTCCCTTTCCACTCCTCCTTCTCATGGAACTCATGCAGATTCCTATGGTCCGAGGCGTCACCTCTAATTTACAACCTCGACGAATTGCCATGATTCACAAGCGCCTCGCTGCCGTTCAACGGAACGCGCCGCTCAATGACCGTAAGCACCCATTCGAATCATGTCTTGCATCTCGTC